GGACCACAAGCACACGATAATGCCCAGCCTGAATAGGTGCACGGCGCTCTAAGTAAAAAACGACCAAGAGAAACGCATCAAAGAGGAGGACCAGACGTATCTGACAGACCAGATGAGAAGCCTGACGACATGCATCAAAGAGATGCTACGTGTAAAAAGCTTGTTGGCATCAAGGCCAGTCGGAGCAGATGACGAGCCGCCGGGTGAGGAACATATCCGAGGGCACGCAGGCGGACGAACCGTCGGCCTAGCGAGGAAGAGCGACGAGGGCGAGAAGAAGACGACGCCGCAGCTTCCCTGCTGGGACGCGGAGGACTAGAGCCCACAAAGGACGTACGCGCCCAACTATGTACATGAACACGGCCCCTCGATTCGCGAGACCGGCCGCGTTATACGAACATTTGTGAAATGCGTGCTCTCGAAAACAGCGTGGATTCATGTACATGTACGTCCTTCTTTCGCTCCTGAGGAGGACTAGGAGACCTGGATCCCGTACGGACGGAGGGTAAACATGCCAGAGCTATGGATCGACTAAGACAACATCAAGAAGCAGAACAACGACGACACATCTCAGGCGCAGGATGTCGAGGTCGCAGTGGTCCCGACGGGGAAGGAGGTGGAGAAGTCGATCCAAGAGCTCCAGGGAAAGATAGAGGAGCACAAGAGAAAGCTCCAGGAGGCGGCAGCCTCCAATTCGGCGACGGCGTAGAGAACTAGAGGACCCACAGCAACCACGCGAGTGCCCCAGAGAGCCCTAAGGGATAAAAGGACTACGCCTTCTACCCGAGGGTCAAGGCAGGTCCGACAGCCTGACCGGAAAAAACATAACCTACAAACCAACGAAACGACTCCGACCCCAGCTACAAGATGTGGGAAAGGGCTACTGACTGCAACTTGGGTACAGGGAAGGAGACGAAACGGTTACGAGTGCCAGTAACACGAATGCGAAAGGTCTCGACACACCACGACTCCCAGGGGAAAGAAGTGAAGGACAGGATATCTCTGTTGTAGATTATTGTTCCGAGGAGACGGGATGCCTGAACAGTTCATGCTGTGGTCTCTTGAGTCTCGTTTTGTGGTTCACCGCCGTCCTCTCTGCTCGTGGTCCTGGGGGTTGCTTCGCCTGCTGGCCGCTCGTGGGCTGCTTCTCCCGTCCCCGTCGTCGTCGTGCTTGGGTTGGGTTCGTGTCCTTGGGTTCCCGCTTGCTGTGGTGCGTGGAGCGTGTGCGTTGTGAGTGGTGTGTGCGTGTGTGTGTGTGTGTGCTTGTGCGTGTGTGCGTGTGTGCGTGTGTGTGTGTGTGTGCGTGTGTGTGTGTGTGCGTGTGCGTGTGCGTGTGCGTGTGCGTGTGTGTGTGTGTGTGTGTGTGTGTGTGTGTGTGGTGTGTGTGTGTGTGTGTGTGTGTGTGTGTGCGTGTTTGAATTTGTATGTGTGCGTGCGGGTGCGTGTGCGTGTGCGTGTGCGTGCGTGCGTGCGTGCGCGTGTGCGTGCGCGTGTGCGTGTGCGCGTGTGCGTGTGCGTGTGCGTCTGCGAGTGTGCGCGCATGTGTGGGTGTGTGCGTGTGCGTGTGTGTGGGCGTGCGTGTGCGTGTGTGTGGGTGTTGGCGTGTGCGTGTGCACGTGCGTGTGTGCGTGTGCGCGTGTGTGCGTGTGTGCATGTGTGCATGTGTGCATGTGTGCGTGCGCGTGTGCGTGCGTGTGCGTGTGAGTGTGTGGGCGTGCGTGTGCGTGTGCGGGCGCCTGTGCGTGTGTGTGCGTGTATGCGTGTGAACGTGTGTGCGTGCGTGTGCGTGTGCGTGTGCGCGTGCGTGTGCGCGTTCGCGTGTGCGTGCGCGTGTGCGTGTGCGCGTGCGCGTGCGCGTGCGCGTGCGCGTGTGCGTGTGCGTGTGTGCGTGTGCGTGTGCGTGTGTGCGTGTGTGCGTGTGCGTGTATGCGTGTGTGCGTGTGCGTGTGCGTGTGCGTGCCTTCTTCTCGTCCCCCTTTCAGCAGGGTCTCCGGAGGAGCAGGCGCCCAGGCAGGCCGTGGACGGCCCGCTCGCCGAGGCGCCGCCGCCCTCCCCGTTTCGCCTATGCCTTTCCCTCTTCTGTTTTGTCTGCTTGTTGCTGTTCTACTCCGCAGTGAGGAGGAGGAGGAGGAGGAGGAGGAGGAGGAGGAGGAGGAGGAGGGCGGGGGATGGATTGACGGGTCGGCGGGGGAGGGGCCTGGGGGTGGTGTAGGTGCCCCCCCCCCGTCTTGAAGGAGGTGCTCCGCCCCTCCAGGGGCCAGCATCCCACTCCTGCAATGCCCAGGAAGGCCTCCGCCTCAGAGGCCCTCCTGCGGCGGGGGGCGCACGCCTGCCCCACGATGCCTCCGTGGGCCAGGCGGCACCCCGGGCCGTCCTGGGTGGGTGCTGCCCCCGCCCCGCTTCCACATAGTTCGCTGGGGCTTAATGCCAGATGTTGTGAGACTGGATGCCCCCTCTGCGCCTTTGCCTCTGCCGTTGCCTCCTCCTCCTCCTCCTCCTCCTCCCGCTGCTCCTCCTCCCGCTGCTTCTCCTCCTGCTGCTCCTCCTCTGCCCCGTTCTTCCCGTCCTCGGACACCGAGCGCCGGCCAAGACGACCCCGGCGAAGCGAGACTCCGGCCAAGCGAGCCCCGGCGAAGCGAGACTCCGGCGAAGCGAGACTCCGGCGAAGCGAGACGGGTGAAGAGAGTCGGGCGAAGCGAGCCCCAGCGAAGCGAGCCCTTGCGAAGCGAGCCCCAGCAAAGCGAGGCGGGCGAAGCGAGTCTTGGCGAAGCAAGCAACGGCGAAGCGAGCCCCAGCGAGGCGAGGTTCCGGCGAAGCGAGTCCGTGCCCGCCACGGAGTGGCGGAAAGAAGTAGAAGGCGAGGAGAAGCAGCAGCAGCAGACACTGGAGGAGCATGAGGAGGCACAGCGTTGCCTGGTGTTCCAGTCGATGGACGCCGACTGTGTCACAGCAGTGTTTACATCCCGTTTGATGAGAACAACCATAGAAATTATTATTTCCGTGCGCTGGACGGGCCGTACTGGAATCAAGGAGGGCGGGACATACCAGATCCCCCAGGGCCACGCCCCCGCGGCTGCGCCTGCGCTGTCCCCTCAAACATCGCTGGAGCCTCCCCGATGCCGAGAAGATGAAACGAACAGGGCAATTCACTACACCAAATACTGAATAGGGCATACAAAGTGTTTGTTCTGTTTTGAGCAGAAAATAACACGGCAAATTACTACACCAGATAATGAATAAGGCATACAAGTTGCTTGTTCTGTGTTGTGCCGAAGGAAGAAACGAGCACGGCGAATCACTACACCAAATACTGAACAAGGCATATCAGTTGTTTGTTTTGCTTTGTGCAAAGGGAAAAAAGAACAGGGTAAATCACTACACCAAATACCGAATAAGGCATATCAATTGTCTTGGGGCCTGGACGTACCTTCGTGCCTGTCCGACCACACGCTCGCGAGCCCGCGCCGCGGGAGAGCCCGACCTGTGCCCATCGGCCCCTCGGGCAGGCCTCGACTGCAGCAGTGGAGGCTATAGGCCGCGCACCCGGCGAGCACGAGCATGGTCATGCACATTTCATGGCCAACGCCCGGTCGCCCCCCCTCCCCTTCGGCAAACGCCCGTCCCCCGCCCATATACAGTCAACCATTAGAGTAAGGATGCGCGATAAGGATGCAAGGGCCTTGCAGGATGCAAACGCGGAGTTGTTCGAGCGGGGCGCAGCAAGCGAAAGCGGCGAAGGATGGACCGAGGGGGCGAGGATGCTCGGGTACCCTTGAGAAGGTTGGCCGTCCTTACTATCATGGTTGTCTGTGTGTATGGCCTGCATAAAAATATGTGTTTACTTTGGTGGGGTACGCCCCCGCTATCATATCACACACGCTTCATGTGTGTCTGTATTGTCTTGCATGGTACGGGAGGTGGGTATGTAAGACCTGAAACTGCCCAAACCTTCATGCGTCGGCAAAGCGCATCTGCGAATGTGTTGTATCCTTCGTCAACAGGCCTTTCTCTTCAAATGGAACACGGCTAAACAAACGGTTCTGCGGCAGCGAAATGCCGACATTCGGGATCCAGTGCTGGTGGCGAGCATGAGTTCTCCAGCAGGCTTTAGACCACACGTCGCTTGGGCCCCCGATTCCACCGCACACACGGCGAAGCGCACCAACCTCGAGCGAGAAGTGGCCCCTGCCGGCCACGAGGAGAGGAGCGGAGGGCGACGCGGGCAGCAAGGAGGGAGCAGGCGGGACGGGGAGCGGAAGAGCCCGGGAAGCTTGAGCGCTGCTGAATGGGTAGGCTTAGGTCGGGCATGTCCCCCACAGGCGCATATTTGGGGGAAGGATAAAAAACAAAAACATGTTCAACCATATTCAACATGTAATTTGGAACAAATCGTTCCCATACTATTGTTTGCATATGTTTGAATCTTCCTTCTGTGAAGGGACGTGCCCAGCTTGAGGGTAGGCAATGGAACCCGAGGGAGGAGGGGGGGACAAGGGTGCACCTTTCGTGCACCTGCGGGGCCCCCCGGGGGCTCTTCGGAACCCCTCCCTGCCCGCGCAGGCAGGCTTGTCTGACAAGTTGTCCGCTTGATGACGCGAAGGCCACTGACGCCTTTGCATGGAGAGTGTGACCGAGTGGTTAAGGTGATGGATTAGAAATCCATTGTGCTCTGCCCGCGCTGGCTCGAATCCCCTCGCTGTCGCTGCATATTAGCAGTGGCGCGCAGCAGCTGCCCCCCCTCCCCATTTGAAGTGGAGACCCACACCAAGAAACGCCCTGCTGGCCTCCAGGGTGCCCTGGGTTTCTTCGGTGTCGATGGTTTGACTGTGGAAAGCGCGACGCTCCCACACCAAAAATCCATGGACGTCTTGGGGTCTCAGGGTTGGGTTTCTTGTGGAAGGTTTCTTGTGGTCGGGCTCCTGCTGTATCGCACCCCCATGGCAAAACCTCCCGAGCTCGAAGGAGGGCTGGGGCCGCCGGACGCGCGGGGGGGCCGACGCCTCCGAAGCCCCCGCCGACGCCGCTGTGGTCGGTGGCCGTGTGCAGGGTGCTATGCCATGCGAACTGGTTCGCCTCCTGTAGGGATGACGCAAGCAGCGCATGCATACACATGCACGTACATGTACATGTACACGTATGCACGTACAAGTATTTACGTATGTATGTATGAATGTATGTATGTATGTACGTATGCGTGCATGCATGTGTATATGTGTAATATATATATATGTATGTAGATATTTGGGTATATCTATATATATATGTGTGGCTGTACATGTTTGGATGCACATGTATTTATATACGTGCGTACGTTTATGTGTATGTATGCTCATGCCTGTGTGCATGTATATGTACACGTATGTATACGCATGAATGCGTAGGTGTGTGTGTGCCTGCATGCATGCACGTACGTGCATATCTGTGTAGGCATGTAAGTATACATACATGTACGTATGCATGCAGGTATGTATGTATGTATGTATGTGTGAATGTGTGTATGTATGTATGCAGGTATGTATGTATGCACGTATGTGTGACCGTATGCACGTATGTCTATACGCATGATTCTTGAGTACACACAAACTACACAACCTGCAACCGTTTACATACAGTCATATGCACTTGTATATACATTGTTGCATGGTCCACAAAACGCTACTACTACGCATCAGATGCATATGCAAACATACGAAGAAGGCGTCTTTACACCACCACCTGCCATGGCCAAAACCATCCTGTGCCCTGGCATTGTGTATACGCTCTCCTGGCCAAGGCCAGGAGGGCCGATGCACCATCGTGCGGCCCTTGATCAGCTGCGGTGGCGGTGTGTGCATATATATGTATATATATATACATGCCCTCTGCGGATCGGACACACATAGACATGCGATGAGCTCACCTGATCCAATCTACAGCCGGACCTAGGACATAATAACATCCTTCATGAGCATGAGGCCCTCCGCCGGCCCAAACACATAGAAAGCATCCTAGGGTACCCTCCCTAGGATGCACAAACACGTCCAACAGACACGAAGAACACTAGGGTACCCTACCCGAGCCGACCTCGATCTTATGCCTCGGCCCGACTGCATCTGAGACAGGCCAGACAGAGGACAAGTGCCCATACCGCTCGCCGCGCGCATGCGGGCAGCGTCTCGCCTCCTGCGGAGGACGGCGCGCGCTGGGGTCGTGGCCCCTCACGGGGGCATCGCCCCGTCGGCCCAGGGGAGAAGGAGGTGGAGGGAAAAGAGGAGGAGGGGGAGGGAGAGGGGGACAAGCTAGGTGCCCTCGCGTCGTAAATGACGTCCTAGCCTCCCATCCCTTACCGTGGCGTGGATATCCTCTCTGTTCGCACAATCGGATGTCGTAGAAGGGCATAGCATTAAACGGTATAGCATGCTGTTGAAGATCAACGTGTAGCCTGACATAGCATGGCGTGGCGACGCCCCAAAGCGGGGGGGGGGCTTCTGCGACCCAAGTAATCAACGAATCGACACCGAATGTGTAATCACTTCCGATGGATCTTTCGGGGGACCAAATTCTAAATTTTTGGGCCTACTTGGCAGAACCGAAAAGTGACGCCAAGCTGCAGCGGGAACGCGGTCCGGAACGAGCGGAAGCGCGGAAATGAGTCCAGCGCTGCAGCGGGATCACGATTCGGAACGAGGGGTAGCCCGAACATGAAGCCAACACTTCAGCGAGAGCAGCATTTTGAGCAAAAAGCCCAATTTAAAACCCCACTCCCAGGAATCCTGTGCAACAAAAACAGGGTACGCGGGGGGGGGGGCCGAATATGTTCTGGACGTCGCTAGGGGAGAGAGGAGGGTAGTATTCAGATTGTGTAATTGTGGAGGCCTTTCGGCCGTCCTCGGCCTCGCCGTCGCCGGCACCTGCCTGCGACGGTGGCGGCTACCATCCTCTGAGGAGGAGGAGAGGAGAAAAACGAGGGGGAGGAGGGAGAGGGGGGAGGAGGAGGAGGAGGAGGAGGAGGAGGAGGAGGAGGAGGAGGAGGAGGAGGAGGAGGAGGAGGAGGAGGAGGAGCAGGAGGAGCAGGAGAATGAGGAGGAGGAGCACGAAGAGGAAGAGGAGGAGGATAAGGAGGAGCAGCCGCCTCGCGGCGTGCTCGCCGATTCCCAGGACCCGGCAGTGGGAACACACCTTTCCCCGTCGGCGGCGAGGCAGAGGCGGTCCGCTCCAGCGTGTGGCGATTCGGGGCAACCGAATGGCTAGTTGGTGACTACCTACCAGACCACCCCAACCCAACCCGAAGACCCCAATTTCGGGTTGGGGGGGGTACGGGTTCCATATGTGTTTTTTCAATGTTCCCCGACCCCCCCCAACTGGAAATGAAGGGCAAATTGAAGCCTTCGGGTTGGGTTGGGGTGGTTTGGTGGGTGGTGAGTTGGCCGGCATGCAAGAGATAAGGAGAAGGACGAGGGCGGCCGCGCAGAGGGACGAACACTCCGACGTGGAAGGCTGCCGCGTGCCAGCGGGCCAGGGCGGCAGGGCCGTGGCAGCGGTGGCCGTGGCAGCAGCCGGCGGGGGCAAGGGCGCATCCACGGGCGCTGCCAGGGCCCAGTGACGATGCCGAGCAAGCGGTTGAAGCAATACAGGAGTATTTTTCTTTAAAAAACAAAAAAAAATGCCGTGTCCACCAGGTGCGCTGGCACCCCGCAGGAGCACACGCCTGTCCTCGATCGTTGAGCCTCCTGAGGTGCCCCGGAGCCTCTCTGGGTCCCCGGGGCCATCGGGGAGGCAGGACACCTGCTGGCCTGCTGGAGCCTTGTGTGGTGCGCTTGCTGTATGTCCACGCGCGCGCGGGAACAGATCCTCGGTGTCAGCGCTCCGGGCGAGAGCGGCGAAAACGGAGGCGTCCGGCCACCCCCCGAGCCCCCGAATCTGGCCGAAATCGGAAACGCCCCCCCAAGAGCGCCGACCCCACCGTCGTGACGCTGACGGAGCCCAGCTGGAATCCAACCAGCCCACTGGCACTCTGGGCGTAGGTAGTTTCGCGACGTCCTCCTTCCATCCCCCTCTCTTCCCCCTCGGGGAGGGTGTTGCCCGTTTTTCTGAAAGATGCCACCTGGCAGCTCCAAGTGGCAACAGAGCCTCTAATGGATACCCCCGAAAGAAGGGCAAAATCAATCAAGCAACAACTTGGTGTTCAGCGACTGGTGCCTTCTGACACTTCTGATTCCGATGGGCTTCTGAGGCCTCAAGACGACCCTAAGACAGCCTACAAAGGCCCCTAGAAGGACCGACACAGGCTCCAAAACGGCCCCGAAAACATTCATGAGCGCCCCACAACGGCCCCAAGAGACGGGCTTTCGGGTTCCGACGGGAGGGGCGAAATATGGCCCCTGGCAACCCTGAAAGGCCTCGAAAAGGGCATAACATAACCACAAAGAGACTCCAAGAGAGCCCCGACGACCTCGAAAGCTGCCCCACGGGGGCCGCAAGATGACTCAACTAATCGTTCAAGAACCTCCCACATCGAAATGCCCGAGAAGGCACGTATGGTTGACTGCTGGGTCTGCTCAAGCTGATTCCGAGCAACAATTCGACGGCTGCCTCCCATATGTGATCCACTACTTGCTCGTACATCGCAGTGAACAAGGCAACTCGCAAAAACATTATTTCTGGATGGACTGAGGAGGATACTCGAAGCGTCATCTGCCAGCGGCCACACACGCACACATCGATGCTCAACAAGCCAGTCACCGATACAGCGCGCTGGCCTGTCTAACGTGGGGCACGTAGATTACTTGGTGGCGTTTACCAGGCCCGTAAATTGCCAACCCACATCAGCCATACAGTCGGGGCGTTGACCTAAGGAACCCTAAATAAAGAATGAGGCCCCTTTTTCCCATAAGTTCAACCTCGATGTCCCGTGGAAAACCTCAGGAAAGCCCGAGGCAAACTCTGAAACCTTCGAGGAACACCGAGCCCCTCCCCAACGAAAAGGGTTCCTTCTTCAGCGCCCCGACTGTAAATGCGAATCCCCATCAACCCTTTTCTGAACGACATCGTCGACGGACACATGTTTTCGATGCGGCCGCCTTTGCCGCTTCGTAGCCGCCCGCTGCCTCGTCGCCACACGCCTCGCATTGCTCCTCATTGCTTCGCATTGCTTCTCATTGCTTCGCACTGCTTCGCATTGAATTGCACTGTTTTGCACTACGTTCCAATACGTGCATGTTCATTGCTTTGCAATGCCCTACATTGCGTCGCGTTTCATGACAGTGCTTTGCTGCATTGCATTGCCATCGCACAGCGTTGTAATCGCATTAGGTTGCACTACTTTGCATTGTTTTACGTTACGTTGCGTTGCTATGCCGTGATGTGCTGTGCTCTGCGTTGCTCCGCATTGCTTTGCATTGCCTGGCAATGCGCTGTAATGCTTTGCGTTGTTTGGCCATGCGTAGCTTTCCGTTGCAGTACTGTGCGTTGCGTGGCAGTGCGTTGCATTGCGTTGAATTGCGTGGCATGGTTTTGCAGTGCTTCGCATTGCTTCGCAATGATTTGTACGGCGTTGCATGGCGTTGCAGTGGTTTCTATTACGTTGCATTGCTTTGCATTGCGCTGCATGGCTGCTCATTGCTGTACATCGCGTTGCATTCCTTCGTAGTACGTTACGTGTATTTGCATTGCGTTGCGTTGTGTCGCATGGCTTTGCGGTGCTTCGCATTGCGGTGCATTGCGCTACTTTGCTGCGCATCGCTCTACATTGCGATACCTGGCATTACTCGTCGTTGCATCCCAATCAATGTATTTGCATTGTGTCGCATTGCGTTGCGCCACAAAGACTACACCACATGGATTGCATCATCTAGATTGCACCACCTAGAGTGGTATGCGTTGACTGCAAGAAAAGACGGGTCGAAATAAACCCCATCTGGAATGCAGCGGCATGGGCTTCCGGAAATCCGTCCAACCTGTAAACCGATGAACCGAGAAGACATCAAATAATCGGTTTACAAACAGATCAACCGAAAAAACGATAATCCGCCGATCCGCTCCAGACACCCCCCAAGAGAAGAAAGAGGACTGGAAGAATCGAGGAGGGAGAAGGCCAC